TTTTTTCCCTCTTCCGGGTTTTCCCCCCCCCCCCATCCTGATACTGGTAGATTTTTCTGCCAATCGTCGTTAGCCGTTTAATCCGAGGTTGGTTGTACTGAGGGCTATTTCCATTTATATTTGTCTTGAAGCCCACCCTACTCCAAACACACTCTCGACTGTACCTCAATCTTGTCGTGACCTATTCCGGATTAATTATCAGGTTTGACGTATTCTGCGTAGCCTTCGTTGACCTTCCGAATCCCATTGTTTTACAGGCTGCCGCAGAACCGAAATCGACTGTTCGTTATCTCGACGGAAAAGTAGTGGATACCAAAGGCAAAAAATACATAGAAATCAAACCTGAATACCCTAACATGCCCCAACCGCAATTTTTGAAAGCCCTGAGACGTTACAAAAAACACTGATCTGTTTTTTGTGCGACATGCGATCCTATCCGTGCTCATATGAACAGCCTCCACCGGTGCCACAATACCTTTGGGAAACGCATTTTCCGACTCTTTGGTCGGCATACCCTCCCAGTCCATGTACTTTGTACTAAGTTGTAAATATATGCTTTTCGTAACATTGTCTGCGTTGCCAAGAGATCGTGAAAACCGCTCATCTAGGAGGCGTTTGCTATCGCTAAATCATCCATGCTCTTTCCCTAACACAACTTAGTCGGTAAAAATAAACGCGCCCCTCATCGTGAACAAAATTTTCCCCAAACTACCCGGGTATGTTTCCTCAATGACTTCGCATGTGGAAGTGAAAAACTGTCATCCTACATTGTTTACTTTCTTCCTTTTACAATCGCTGGGGTGACTGTTTGGAGATGTTCCCTGTTATGAAATTAAGCGCCCTATCAGTCATCATGGAGTACCTGCGGCAGAGGTACCCGTTGCATGACCTTCGAAAGACGCTTCTTGACAGATGTGAGTGGGACAGAACTACCCCTATAGCACATATTGAACACATTTGGATCATAACGACTGAATAAGTAAGCATGTCTACTCTTGAGCGCGTGATTGCTTTGCCCAATACTTCGAAAGACGATCCAGTAACTAGATTGTGTATGAAGATGGGTGAACGAACCTGCCGGGACTTCCAATTGGGTGGCGGCGCTGACGCTAGAAACCGCCTAGACAATGCCTGATCGGTTGTGGGTTACGGGGACCGTACAATTTGTATTAATATCATTATAGGGTAATTAACACCGAGCCCAGTGCCTTCCCTCTTTGATGTGCATCAGCTAGAACAAATGTGCCAGTACAGGAGGGTGACGCTTCAAACAGTGCGAATACAAATTCCGCGACCACTACAAGTAAGCACAAATTGTCCAGCAGGTTTCAAGCGTCTGTGACGCCGCCTGATGCGTGGGTACAGGCACAGTAATTCAGATGTCCCTAATAAATTATTGATAACACACTCTCCAATGCAACCAATGATTGGCTTCCGCTTGGTGGCCTCCAAGTAACTCTGAGAGCGTTTGCGCTGGAAGTTCGCATTGACCAGGAACGCGCGCGCACAACTGAAGCAATCGCTCCCCATTACCATACGTTGTGAGTCGTCCCCAAATCTGCCATCTAATTGTGACGAAGACAGTCCCTACAAACCTCGGCAAAAACCATCCTCATTCTCAAAACTGCGGTCTGTCCTATGCAAGATGCGATAAAAATTGTTCACCGCACCGACCTCAATTGAGCCCGCACAGCGCAAAGACGACAGTTTACTGGGATCTAGTCCATTAAGGCGCTTTCAGCCTTGTCGCTGAGTGAAACTCCCACGAACCATTGCGTCAGGATCACCAGATACCTGAAAAGTGAAATGTGGAACATCTGAGCTCATCCTAGCTTAAGGTCCACGACCGAAGTGTTCCGGAGACAGACAGACAGAGGGAAATCAAGGTTTCAGCAAAGCATAACTGTTGCTCCTCCAGCAACACCGCATACACCGTACTTCTTGGGACTTGTGTGGCAGCCATAAACAGAAATAGCACCTTCACCGGTCTCGATAATTGACCAAGTTCGCTTGGTATGTCCACGGTGGATCGCATTTCAAAAATAATCGAGCATTCAGGCGACAAGCACAGTCGAATAAAGTGCCGCATTAGGTCAGCAAAGCCACATGAGGCAGCTGCCTGCGTTCGCAGTTAGCTGCGAAGATGGTTTCCAGATAACTTGATTTCTGACCCGAAAAAAGTCTACACCTGAGAAATAACAAACGACGGATTTTCATGCACAAAGGACTCCGAGGCTTTCCATCCGTGCTTGCATCCAAGAGGGCTTCAACCTGGTCAGCGCTACGTATAGATAGATATGTATCGAGGTTTTCCATGCACTAAACAGGATCGCTTATGCAAACAAAAGTACTGATGGTAGAACTACTGTCAACTTGTAGAATCAGTACGCACTTTTTTTAACTTTGGTCATAAGGTCAATTCATTACCAAGTTTGCTTAAACACAGAACTTTCTGGACGGCTTGAGCGAACATTGTATCTAACTCGAGTAATATTGGCCGAATGCTTCCATCCTGAGAGGCGGCAATCGAAAATGTAGTAGTTCGTCTTGTGTGGCTCGCTGACTTCGGCCAGTTAAAACTTCCTTCGGATGGAATCAGGATGCTCACTGCACGACTTGTACCCCCGCACACCCAACCCTAGGGACGGGGTGACAAAGAAAACCTTGGTACCAGCATAGGCATGTATGCCACATCAGGTGTGACCAAAAATAAATCCATCGTTTTAGTTGCATTCTTCGAACACGCCCATCCCCGCGAAAAACAGAACGAAACTAGGTGAACAAACGACAGAGTGCCCAGATGGAAGACGTAGAAAGTACAGTCAAACTAATCTCACTGAAACCACCAGAAATACTCATGCCATGCTCACCATCCTCCGATAGGTGCTGGCGTACGCGTACCAGACCTGAGTACACCTGTTTGATTACCTCCATGGTGGCCGTGACAGAAACTGAGATCATGACACATTATCTGACGTCTGCAGCGGTCTACGTTCAACAAACTCGACCAATATCTATGTCCTCGATAGCATGCATAGGATGAGGCCCCGTTTAATGGGTATCAAAAAGCGGGAGTTCGATCTTCCTCGATTTTCAGACTCCCCATAGAAGTTGGCGATGAGACCAGAACTAGTTGGCGGCCGACAACGATCCGAGGCAAATGAGGAGCACACACATCGACTGGACCAATCAGACTCGTTTCAGCGATTAAGGAACTACCCTTAAAGGAGGTCTAAAGTCGTAGGTTTACGGAAAAAATACATTCAAGAGTAATATCTGAATAAGATTATCTGCTTACAACAGATAGTTTCGATCAAAAACGAATTTATAAAAACTATAGACAGATAGTTCCAAAGTGAAGGGTAAAATAGTATCGATTTCTGTGGAAGAGCGCAAGAGTTGATTTGTCGCCATTATGTCGTTCATTTGTCAGACTGAAAGTACTCCAATTGAATAAAAAGCGACAGAGGATCGAGTGTTAGGTATGTGACGGAGTTTCTACACTAGCGCTAGTCGGACGCTCGAATAATTCAATTACCATCACCGTGATATCATCCCTATAGTACCGGGCCACTCCGGGTGGTAGGGATAACAGTTTGAGAGCACGGTCGAAAGCTTTCCGGTCATTTTCCTTCAACGGGAGTTTGTCAACGTCTTGTTGTTCAGCTCTTTTATTCCAGCTTGCTTGTGAAATAGCGCCAGCGATTTCAGGTGGAACACTAACTAAACAGTTCCATATAAGGCGTGTGGCAGGAGAGGTGGGCTTGCGCAACTCATGCTCCATCACTTCACTTGCGTCCCCACTGGATAACATATCCCAGAGACCGTCAGTGGCTAGGACAAGGTAGCGATCACGTGGTGTTATCTAGAAAAGAGAAAGAAGTGTAGGAAAAGAGATGAAAGTTGTTTACAGGTCAATGATTGTTTGCACATACAACATCGTTACTATAAACCTGGTTGCTACCGCTAAGGTGACGGTGCCGACCTTTACCCCAAAGGAAAATATCGCCAGAGCGGACGAAAATTTTTAGGAGGAATTCTACACGGATCCCGTTTTATCGCTCGCAGTCAGGTGCTGCTACGGCCGATAAGCCTATCCCGCGCAAGATTTGCGAAAAATACGGAAAGCTTGTCAGTCTGGCATCAAGTCGGGATCTGATTGGTCGAAAGTCTAGACCCAACAGCCAATAATGACCCAGCATTAGCCGAATGCCGTTGCCGATGGCGCATCCAGAAGGCGTCATTATTTCCAGAAAGTTATCGCCGCTTACACTATATATATGACGCACTCTACAAGTGTTCTTGACTTCGTTTTGGGCGTTAGTATAGCTTGCGCACTTTTGGTGGTTGTTTTTTGACGTCAACGCTAGTTTGGAAGGCTCAGACCGAGAACTAAGCTGAGAAAAGTACCGTTACTACAAAAATATTTCTCACTATAGTTGTATTCGGAACAACGCTGATTGACGATACGGCGCCAAACAGAATCGACAAGCAGCTCCAAGATGGCAGAATCGACTTCAGGAATGAGTCACTTGTGGAGGCGACAGCCTTAATTATCACATTTTAACACTGCACGACCAGAAAAAAGCTCCATCCTGCTATAACCATTGCAGAGAAATTGAACTTCTACGAGCAATCGGATACGAGCCAAATGCAGCGTCATTTGGGTTCACTATCATGAATTTAAATTGGTGTGTTCCTGTGATCAGTCTGTGTGGATGTGAACCGTTGTACGGCTTGGAAGATATTGGCAGCGATACGGTCTGTCGCCGAAAATGACTACATGGTGGTTCTAGTGCTAAACATCAGTGTTCTCCACTGGTGTTGCTCTCAAAGAATACGATGACTACCAGCAATACAGAGTGTGGTGTTCGAGACTACAAAACTACCTTGAAAGACATACGCTCAGACACCAGAAACTAACCTCAAAGCTTGTGACATCAGGTTGTGCTGTCAAATAGGGAGGACTCGTATACGGGTTTGGAAGGATTGACATTTCTTTCGGTGGCTGCAGACCACGTCCGATATCCGAGGTCCGCTTAGCCGACGACTGGTTAAGCGCGCTGGACAATTCTAACAGTCTGTTAGCTGGCCACTTGTACCGGACGTTGCCAAACGCTCGAGACGGTGCGAGTTCACCAAGCAGACGTCCGCCTTCACGAAACAATTCGGAAAGCGAATTGTCCGGATGCTCCATTTCGACTCGCTTCAACTCTTTCTCGTTGCACCAACCTTGGTGAACTGGTGCACAGGCAATAGCTTCAAGTTCAGGATTAGGAGAATCTGGAAATGGTGCGAAAAAAGCAGATTAAACTATGTCCGCTGCGTAGGTTTGCCAGGTGATTCATTAAGAAGTAAGCAGCTATGGTCCCCCTCTGACACACCCACACTATGAATGAAGTATCACCAATCGTCCCGAACCTAAACAGCAGCAATAAAAACGTCAGGGGTGGGTAGCAGTCACACGAAATATGCTACATAACCCTCCCCACACAGCTGCCTGGGTATGACCTATCTCCCCTGTAAGTGTAACTAATGAAATGAACCTAAGATGCACCTAACGGACCAAAAGTAACAGATTAATCTCTCTTACTGTCCTGTCCAAAGATCTGAAGCCACCCACTTATTTACTTGATTTATAAATCTGTATCGGCTGGTCTGACTCCTGATTATTATCAAGTTAAGTGGCTCACCCTATAAGTATCCATCATGCGAAAACCACCCTCTAAATAAAGTTTCCAGTCACCTAAAAAGTTCCGTCGTGGTAAAGCCATCACAGACTTCATCAGGAGAGACCACTCAACTGGATGACGAAACGAATAAGCTATTCTCTTACTTGGAAACGCCAGTAATCTTATTTAATTGTGTAAGCTGTTTCCTGCGACTGATTATTTTTATCGTGTCCAACTAGATGTTGTATTTGGTTGTATTTTTCAATGTGGAGATCTTACCAACGTGCCGATATCTATTTACCAAGTACTTTTGATGCCAGCTTACAGGAATGATACAACGAGTCAGTGCGGTTTTTCCCAGCTCTGAGGAACAATGCTGACCGGGAATGGCTTATGCCGGATTGCCTGGTCCACAGTGGTCTGTCTTCAAGTTTGGATGTTTGATAATAACGGATAGCCAGCATACATGTAAGAATTGGTTACAAGCACAGATTTCAGCCGCTAAAGCTGTTGATAGAAATCTATCATTAGTTAACACAGACAGAACAGCGGTTACGGTATAGGATAATGTCTACCAACGGCTACCGGAACCGCATTCTCTTTATCTGATATCCCCACGGTGTCCCTAAAAGGCAGGTACAATCTGAACACCTAGCAAGATAGTCCCTAAGTAAATCACAAGTGCTCGGTTGTCACTACCAAGCTGACATCATCTGGTTTGACAGTGACCTTTTCTGAAAAAGAGGTCAGCACCCGCTCATTTGCTGCGGCGGTGTAGATGAGCCTTCAAATTTACTTAGTAGTGATATCGTTTTTTTTTCATAGGAAGAAGGCGAATCGAGGGCTTGATGGATTAATAAAATTGTCCAGATTCGTTAGAGCTTGTCTGGATGGCGCCCAAAATTAAGGGTGACAATTATGTGCTATCTTGAACTGAAAACCAAGATTGCCCAGTATAGGAACACCAGATGCATACCACTAAGCCGTATGGAAAATGCTATCAACCAGGGTTTCTCAAGTTGGCTGAAAATCAGTCCTAAACACCGCCAAGATGAAACACATCATCAGAACTCGAAGGAACAACAGTTGCCGGCGACAGTAGTTATGGATACCCACTGTATTGTGAAGTACCCATAAAGCCATCACGGAAGAAAGAGAGAGAATTCTCAGTTCACGAGGAAAACTGTTCCACTCTGTAATGCCCTCTTCAAGACCACTGCGTCTTCCAAGGGTGGCATTTACAGGGTGGGTAACTCTAAGTATTTTACAAGTTCATAGTTTGAATCCACAAGGACCTAAATTGGTTCTGAGTCACACCAACTTATGGAGAGTTTTGTTCCGTCTGAGAGACCGAAATACTCTGTCGGTGACAGATTTTACACACAAGTCTGCTCATTCACTCCATTTCAGCAAAACAGAAACACGTTTGTCCTGAGTTGACAACACGAGCGCCGAACATTTGTATAGTTAATGAAATACGGAGCATTCGAGATAAATTTTCTATCGTTTTCTTAAGGATGTATGAATAAAACCGTTATTCTTCAACTGCCTCACACGCCGGGCCAAGTATCATAACTACGGAGCTTACGTAAAGCATAATTCGACTTTAATCTACCGACATGTCAAGCACGAGAAAGCATATGACATTCAAATGTTGCCTTTTATCCCAGCCGAATCAATACAGAAAGAACATTACATCAAACTGTGAGATAATTACACACGTCTGCTCACCCAAAGTGACCAAGACACGGTGGTGTTGCCATTTCCTGCTAATCGCATTCTAGAGTTAAAAAAAAAACAAAGTTTACTACCGCCTTATCTTCAATGCGATAATAGCTCGTTTGATCTAATCCTACCCTAGAAGGATAACCAAATATTTGGGTGGGGCTTTGTGGTATTAATCTTCGATTAAACCACGGGTATAATAATAATAAATAATGATAATCGTTCAGCTGTAGTACCCTTTCGGTGCCTAGCTGCCATGCCACACCAAGGAGGCACGAGGGCTGGGATACTGCCAGGTCGCCCAAGCCTAGACAGGGGAAGTCGAGTGGCAGAGGTCGGGTTCGAACCACGGACCTTCCGGTCAGTAAATTCGCGCTCTAACCACTTGGGCCATCTCGACCCCGGATAAGGAAAAGCTGAACTGTGTATTACAAAAATCAACTTCGTTCGCAAAGTTTCCACTGCTAGAGAGTTTAGTACGGGAATCATATTAGACCGAAACCTCGATAAGGTCTCCGAGCTACTGCTTTGAAGTTGATGAAAGGAATCCCTGGCGTCCACTTTATACTACTGAAACCGATTATTTCAGGCCTTAGGTTCTATCGTCTTATGTTGCGGGGATCAGAACCGCCCTTTGTGGTAACCATTGTGAAGATCGCTCAGTTTTGAGAGCGCGAATCTACTGATCGCAAGGTCCGCAGTTCGAACCCGACCTCTACATCTCAACTTCCCCTGCCCAGGCTTGGGCAACCAGGCAGTATCCCAGCCCTCGTGCATCCTTCGGGTGGCATGGCAGCTAGGCACCGGAAAGATGTTACAACTGAACGATTCTTTTGTAAAGAATGTACACCATCGACCACAACAGCGAGCACTGTGCACACTAATGTGAGCTGCTCGATAAGTTTAAAAGTGAAAACTGCCTATATGCAATTGCAATATGCACTACCAACTCGTTTACGAGTTCGTCACACATCACTGAACCGGAACAGAGTAAGTCACAGAATAGATACGTACATGTACACACACACACACACACACGAAGAAACAAAGAAATATATTCAGTTGTGTTAGTGCCGGTGAGAGATTGGAAACAATACTCAACTCCATAATGAATTTGTCGGAAACGCCTCGTGGGCTGATCCAAAATGGATGTGCGCTTCACTAGAGACTCGACTGTTTGCGGCTTCAATATCAAACACTAGAACATCACCCGTACAACGTATACAAGTTTTCCAGACGGTAGTGATCACCACAAAAAAACAACGCAGGAAAGACTTTCTCTGGTGCCGCGTTTGCTGATTTTAGCTATTAATTCACTAACAGCGACCGACAGATATGAAAACGATATTTTAAAAACCACGTGTATGCCCGTTGACTGACAGCATGCAAGGAGCAAAAACAAGGCTAACCCATATCATTTGTCTGACGCAACAAGACTGCGCCACAATCACCCACACTGGCAATGTGCAGCTGTGTTGGTAAAGTGCCGTTCTTTTGATCATTGTCCCAAAATATACGACCAGCCACGCCGACGGCCCCGCTGAGTGCGACACGCATAAGCTCACGATTGTACATGGAGTCAGATGATGGCAGATGGGCACCTAGTTCCACGCTGAAATCAATGGGCCGGTTGGTTGAACACAGATCATCGTCCAGACGTAGAAATGCCTCTGTAAAGCAGTGCACTGGGTCCACTGGTGAAAAACGGGGTGAGGGAAAAGATGAATGAGGAAATCACAGACGTCCCATCTCTAAATAGGGCGGAAAGGATACCCAGTGCAGCCCAGTTGTTATGTTAGCGGGTGAATAGTTGCGATGACAATGAAATTTGTGGTAGACTTCTTGACGTGTAAAAAGGAACCTTTTCAGAGTCATGATGAACAGGACTAATGTTTTTTGGTGCTCAATTAGAACCTAGGGTTGATGGAGACTACCCCCAAGAGGGGTGAAAACGTTAACGGGCTTTCGCAGGCTTATCAGCAACCATATGGGTGATACTGTACCAAGAAGATACATCCAGGCATCTTGAAAATGGGAACATGAGGCAGCCTTTGTGTGGCACATTCAGTTGAAGAATGCCACAAAATCAGCTGGGGTTCATTCGGATCTTTCATTAGCACCAACTTACTTTGCAAATGGAAGTGCTTCCCCACAAGTTCCTCGTGTAGGTTTGCTAGTCTCATTTATGATGGCAATTTAGGCGCATATGGTGTAAGCAAAGATATACTAAGGAAGACCTGGTCCCCATTAACACTTCCATGCTCTCATTCCGGTCGGTTCGTGTGGCCGTCCGGTTGACTCCTGTGGATTAATCATTCGATTTGATCCACTCATAAGGAAACATTCTCTGATATAAAATAAGCTAGGCAAGGTCACCGGATTAAACGCCACAAATAAGCACACACACCCAACCTGCCGGTGCAGTCCCATAACGAACATGGAGCTACACATTTACGATGGATGGTTTCACTGATGAAGAATTTGCTAACCATACTCCTGTTGTATGAGCATTCATTAGAATGATGTCTTTGATTTTTGCTAAAAACTCTGTTGCTACTCCACCACACCTGACTTCACTCGTTGATGAAAACACAGTCCACCAGTGTGTGCACACCACATGCGCTAAGCGATTTTTGGCCAGAGATGAACGGCTAAATCCACACACCTATGATCCAGTGAACGAACGAAATTGGCAGGAATCATAGAAATGAATATAGGTGTCCGAAATGATGGAAGAAATTAAATATCTCACAGGTCTACTGTTGTTAACTAATACAGATCACGGAACGTGGTCTGCTAAGTCCAATTACTTGGCAGTTATTCCGTAATAGAACAATTTATTTCGCACATTTGCATTGTCCTAGCGTGATGAGCCTCCCAGATTTCGACCGCCTGTAAAAATCACATGGGATGGCGTTTGCTTAGCAAACATCGGTGCCTTGGTGCCGTCTGGCAGATGACCCTAATGGGCCTCACTGCGTTGCCTGTATGAACACAGGGGACCGTTAAGACCCACCGTCGCATAAGAAGCTAGGGAACATTGATCTGAGGATGCGAATAAGATATATATTATCGAGAAATACACTAATTTGCAAATCAATTTGGTTTTCACGAAAGACTCAACTGAATCTCTCGTTTGTGATATTCTACAACTGAATAAGCTGCACACAGGCCATCTCATGATTCAGTTGGCACGATATTCGAGATATCGCAGTATATTTTCATAAAGGAAACTACTCACAAGGGTGTCATGGCAACAAGGCAATGAGAGGGTCTTTTTAGCTGAACGATTATTACCATTAGTACTATTGTTATTAATTTGACGCCAGTAAAAAGCAGTTTTTTACATGTCTACCTTGAAACAAGAATTAAGCCATTTCCAATTTACGCTTGACAAACAACTTGCAAAAAATGATGCAACAGTGGGATCTAGCTGGCTGACGTGTTAGGGTCAGCTGAAACATGAAACACCAGCATTGAGAATCGATTCCATCGATTTCCGTTATGTTTATTCTTATCAGGCTTTTATATCCCAACTGCAAAGGTTTGATACAGACTGTCACAACATTTAATACCATACATCCAACAAACCAAGTTACCCACAACTTCTAACAAACCAGCTCTGTTCATTCCTCGGTTTCTCACTCACATATCAAAATGGTCTCTTATCGCCTGTTGTAAACTTACTTGGGTACGTCATTGTTGGAATTTCGAGTGCGTAATTCAACAACCCTCAAGGATATTACAAAAACTTACCCAAGTAAGTCTTTGCGGACGGTGCGGCAACTAACCAAGAGCAAAAACGGCTACGTGGATAAGGCCTTGGAAAAAATGTGCGCCTATCCGAATGCAACGGTCGGTACCAAGAAGAAAATATTTACCAGCCTTCCATTTGTAGTTGATGCGTCCTACAAAACTGCTGCTTGCCAACTATTCGTCACCACATAAGCAACATCGTCAGTGCGATCAAAATCGTGCACTGAACGACGGGTACTCAAACCAAGCCTCAAAGGACTGCTTCAAATGGACACACGTAATGACGGTTTCACGGCTCACACAAAGCTGAACATACTGGCAACAGTCTGATACAACTAACGGAATACAGAAACATACACTGGCATAGTTAATGAACAGCGAAAAGTTGACAGTGGTGTTTTGGAGCAGTTAGTAATTTTAAACTCAAGCGCAGATATTAGCGCCACCTTTGCAGCTATTCTTCGTAAGCCACTTTTTTCGCAAACAGTTCGTTTGCAGCTTTCGTTACCTTGGTCTAATCGGTATTCTAGGCCACATAAGCCATGGACCTTTTAGCCCATCAACAGCCAGTTGTTCCGTGATGCTCTTCTGCTGCTCTGTCTCATACAGTCAAGTAGTGGCCCGTATTTCAATTTGCTCTTGTTTCTACCGGATTAATTTCCGTTAGATTGTCAAAGGAAAACGCACTGTACAAATTCTGTCCACGCAAATATGTTTTACATAAGTGAATAATGACGGTAACGTAAATTAACAACCAACCAGTTTCAAACACTTACTGCCCTGACCAAATAAATTAGGGCACTTGGTGCGCCAGGTTTCTCCATTAGCGCAGTTCTTGTCCTGTCTGTCTTAACATTACCACTGACGATAATTATACTCAATACCTCCGTTTGAACAAAATATGCGGCTCATAACGGCTGTTTTACCCTTATCCGGAGTCACGCGCAGCACACAAATCAAGATTCCCTGTAGGGATTTCAATCCGTCACCTTCGGGATAGAAGCCGAACACACGTGACTGGCCAGTAGCTTTACGTGGACCTGCTAAATGGGGAGTCACTCAGCACCAGATCACGTGAAGTGTGCGATTGCGAATGAATGGCATTGTGTCCTGGTTAAATTTGGTTGAACTTCTTATCGGCCACCTGATGCTAGGGAATAAGACGTTTCGAGATATTTGATGCATTCAAATAGATAGATTGCCCCACCATCAAGCAATCATTAAGGAATCCTGCTTCGTCGACAGTTAAACGGATCCTGTCTGTAAATCGCTTGCCACTTTCCCGGAATACTGACTGCCGTTGCGTCACATCCTGGAGACTTGTGAGATGCACGTCTCTGACTGCTCCCGATATGCACAAACAGTTATACAAGGTCTGTTTAGTTTGGAGCACAAAGTGACTCCGAGTGAAAGGTCAAATTATGATTTGAAAACTTTAGAATTCCCTCACTCCTTACAGTGTTCATCGGTTTCAGCACGCTGGATAAGAAACTCACTGTTACGATCAGTCCGGTCGACCAGATCCGTGACATATTCTTTCAGACAGCCACGCATATGAGCACACAAGTGGGTTGACGGAGATCTGGCCGCATGACCCAAATGTCGATGATCGGTTGACGAGAGTAAGTCAAGCCGTCGTGCCAAATGATACGGCTGTTCAGCTGCATGAGTACGCCAATAATCAATGGCCGCGTGTAGTTTTGCTGTGTCCAGGAAAGCAGCCGCTATGTAGTCCAAAATAGCCCAAGCCAGGGTGTGGACGCATGCGGTACCAGAGTGTCCGTCTAACACAGTGAACAAACAACTAGAAACAACCCCATCAACCTGATGAGAATAAACAATGAATAGAAATATCTTCAGTACCCATCAGTTAGAAGGGAAAAGTGAAACCAATGTTTTATGTTAACCTTGAGACGAATTTGAAAATTCTAACCTGAACACTCAAAGACGGAACACTTAAAAGCAAAGGGCTCAATGGATATTAAATTGGTTGACTCTTTTTATGAAGCTACGAGCAATTAATTTCGATCAAGTTATATAGACTCACAAAATATTGGCACATAGTGCCGGGTTCGTTTGGTTACCACTGGTCCCAAACACCGCACCAGCTTCACAACCTAAGACTGCGGCCAGCGTCTCCCCACCTAACATCTATCATGTGAACGCCGTGTTGATCGTTCCTCAAAGTGATTATTCTACCATACGTTACGGGTCCAGTTCAACTCGATCTATGAGCAGCAAAATCCCTCCAGGAAACGGTTAAGTTGAGCGATTCGGCTATATACTGAATGACAACAATGGAAAATCGTTATGCTAGTTCTGACAATCTCAAAGTCACACATAGGCAACAGACAGCTCACATTTGCTGAAGCCATACATTCTGTCAGGTCCCTTCTTTTTACTACTGCAAGCGTCGCACACGATACCCTTCGGTTTCAGTCGTTGATGAACTTCCAGGACCTCTCTCTTCAAATGGCTGGTGTACGATAGTACTAATTGAGAAACCGCTTAAACCTTACCGGTACAGCCCGTTGGTTGGAGTTGAGTTTTTACAAGGTAATCTATAGTACGCGCATGCGAGTCTACTGACACGGAAGAATTCGTGTAAGCTAAACCCGTGGCTCCTAGTGGTTGTTCTCATGTATCTGAAGCATTAGTAAGAAATTAACCACTGTCAACCACAATGTCTCAGATGAGTCAACACTCGAAACGGCTCTGACCACACGTTCGGGTCATAGCAAGACTTCCGTCTAAACAAAACGAATATTACGTCCAATCCCATTACCAACAACAATCCTAATTATTTGGAAAAATTCCAAACACAGTAGGACAAATCGTGAAACCCAGCACTCACCCTTATTGCTTTCGCTGTTTTCGACTGAAATTCACTATTCTAGTAAAGTTGTCATTCCCATTCTCATAACGCTATACGAATATTGTGCACATTCCATTCTACTCATCCTACTGCGCAAGCTTATTGGTCAGGGTGAACGTGCCAACATTTTTCTGTTTTACTTACGTACACCGACACTGATTCTTTACCCTATTTTAGGTCCCCAACGGACTTTTCCAGAGAGAGAACGCCTAATTTTCTGGTCTTTCTTTCATTTGCTAAGAGGTAGTCTATGTCGAGCTTTACTAATAATCCAGTAATAGCGAATACAAAGCTCTGATTGCTGCGTCGGGTGCCCTCGTGTTATGCTTGTACTTATTTATCCTTGAGTTCTTTCGTGTACTAGCCTATAGGCAAACTCACCAAACTAATATACGCTGGTATAAGGTAGTTTACGTTAAAAATGCTCATTGGATTGAATGCAAAAGCGATTTGGCAGTCGAAAAATCATCAACAACGATCCGACAAGCAGCTAAGCCTCAACTTGAGAATCTGGAACTGTACACTCAGGATCAAACTTTATGTTCATTTGATGCCTTTCAAAAGAATTGAGATAATTATCAAACCAGAACATCAACCTTCAACAGGTAATTCGACATTCTGGCACACTGTTATTCCTGAATTTGTATCTTCAGTTAGTAGACTCTGTGATATTCGTTCGCACTGTTTATTAGTTGACCTGATCTCGAGGAGACTGTGCCATATTACTGAACTGAGCAGCAATGCTGAATAATTTAGTTACAGATGTAAAACCTCCAATATACTATGAGCCGAATCCTAAGAAAACTTTACCTGTGTAAGACCAATATTCCACCGATCTTCTATTGGGCTATTAGCCGCAAGCTGGTTGACGTACACACGCTTGATAGGACAAGCAGAGCTCAGCAGTCCGGAGTTGATGTACTTGTCAAACAGTATTTCAATGGCTCCAGCGGACAATAGTCTTTCCAACTGTTTACGTCCCGTGTGTCGACCGAGGAAAGTGAGACTATGGGCATGATCTTCAGTGAGTGGATAGCACAAGCCGCGTGTTGCGATAGAGGAAACAGGACGCAGACCGAATAGGATAGCCCGAGCCCCACCAATCATACTATCCAGAAAATGAGCCTGATGAGAACAAGCTCAATTGAAGCCAGTCTAAAACGAAGTCAGTTATACGGAATGATTGCAGGTTTCAGTGTCAGAACTACTGGGTGAGAACAGCCTGTTTGAAGTAAATAAAAAGAACCCATTTCCTTTTTCCATTCCAAAGGTGGTCCATGAGAATCAATCTGTATTTTTTAGGGCCGAGTTCCTAAGGGAAAACTTCCGATCCGCGTCATTTTTCCAGCATCAAACAACTGGTGTGTGGTAAGTGGACTCCTCCCAAACAGATATTTCGTTTGCGATTACAATCTTAAAAATCATTCACGTTTCCAATATAGTTTATCCTGGTGCTCGTTTGCATTGTGGTGCTCTCTCCAGGCGCTGCCACATCAGGCCTCCTACTGGCTTATAGTGGACATCCCAGCAAAATTGTTTTAATCGCTTGTTGTCTGGTCCGCGAATGAGAGACAAAACCCGAAGACAGCGATTTTAGTAAAGTAAGCCTGTTACAAAGACCAACCTTCTTCGATCTGTTGTAGGTATGATTGGTTCAGTCCCTGACGTGTGAGCCCAGTCACAAACCGGCAGAATGACGTGCAAGCGCGCAACCAGCCTCTTATCAGTTCGACTGTCTCGATTGTTTCGAGGGTCAGCGAAGGGCCGTGGAAAGCCTAACTTCTGATCCGGAAGTCTCGCAAGTTTGAAAAGGATAAGCACGGAATATGTAGTTCGAAGAAACAGCTTACCAACCTTTCCAAACCTTTCCCAATTGAAGACAGTTTGCCAACTTCACTATAATTAAAAATGAGGTTATAAATAAATCTCCTGGGCCATATCACTGACACCTGCTCCTATGATTGGAGAAACGGCTGTCATCACAAGCACTTACTGTCGGGGACAGACTGAATCTCACGGTGATGTAACGCTTTACTTACCTTAGCAACTCATTAACCTATAACAGGTGTCTACGTAGGATCCATAGGGTTCCTCGCACCGAAATGGTCAATAAATACCGATCTGACAAACACAGACTCCCGGCCCTTTACACATAATCTTATGTCAATCACAGCTGTTTTGCGGTCAGATTTTCATACCAAACTATTCGGTTGAGAACCCCAAGAATGCACGTCTTGGGCTTGAGCACCGTGTCAATAACCCATTCCACATAAAAAATGAAATGCCCAAACGAATGTATTTTCACGTCGCCTGGGCCGATACGTGGGGAAACCAGTGGGGTCACCTGATCTAGTACATACAGCACATTAAGTCAGTGAAAATATGTGACTACTGAGGCCCCCGTCTTACCCCACCGTCGTCTCTTAAAACCCTCTTGTCGCATTCAACAATCATCCTGTATATGGACGTCAAAAAAGTGACCGATCTTATGTCATCGTTCACATCTGCCACTTCGCGTTCGCCGTCAGGCACTCCCTCGACCGTCCAAATCACTGTCGTTAACGTCCAAATCATAGGCTGTAAAATGTGCACAGCGTTTCTGAACAACCCCTCAACCGTGGCGCTCTTTCGATGGATAGCTATCGCGGAACTCGGAGATGAGGGGACTGAGATATTGCCTGGTTTCCTGAAGGAATTGAAACACCAAGATCAGTTAGGACTCACAAACCTCCCGGTCAGTAAGTTCGTGTCGCAACTGTCGAGCACCCAAACAGTGGTTCTAGCTGCCCCAGCTTCTTTTTGCCGATGACCTGGCAATTAAAGTGGACTGTCGTGCATTAAAAGCAATGGCTGATGTCAGTGACGCATGAATCCAAGGGCAGTCGTGAGCTTTTCACTGGATGGTCAATGGTGTCAGGCATGGATATTCAACCTCTCCATTCTTGTTCTAATTCGTCACTGGTAAAATAATGAGACGAACGCTGGAAGATCTTCATAATTCCAGAGTTCAAATCGCTGCTGGTAAGAACCTCGTCGATTTGGAGTACTCGGGGGGCGTCATGAGGAGGGGAAGAACAAGCTCTGATGAATAAAATGACCACCACCACCACCACCACAATCTTTTGTTATGTGCCTTGAACCTTCAAAGAGGAGAGTCATGCTTCGGAACGTGCAGTCCCCGGAAGTGCTTCTTGTATAACAAGAGGAAGCACCTCGGTAATTGTATTAGCTGTAACGGAAGTGACTGAGGAAGTCAGTGCACGAATCTCAAAGGCTCGAAGCATGTTTGATGATTTGCATCACATGTGGTGTCAAACAGGTATACCACGGGATTTCAAGGACGGTGTGTACCAGACCACACTCAGGACTGTATTGTTGCATGGTTGCGAGACTTGATCTCTGCAGACGGATGGCGCGAGGAGTCCTCGGGTTTTTGACCACCTATGTCTCAGAAGCGTGCTAGTGTGAGATGGCTTCGACAGAGTCATAGTGAGGTAATGGGAAAACGGATATCTGGTTGTACATCAGACAATTCAGTCGCGGCCATGCACTGCGAATACTAAAATATCGTCCATCAATATGGGGGTTGTTTTCTGAACCTCCCTCAGAATGGCGCCAAATTCAAGGTGGACAACTATGACTTAGCATAATGGTGTGAAAGAGATTATGTTGGTGGTGCGGTCCACTTTCCAGGATGGAATCCCCGTAACCTCCTGTGCTTGGCTGGAGACATCGTAAGAAGTTGCGGCCAACAGATGTAAGCGGCGTTCATGCTATCAGTTCCTTTCCACTTTACGTCATTGGGTTTGTAGATACCTCAGAATGTAATATGCGCGATTAGGCGCGTCTAGATCACATTTGTCAATCTGTCTTGTCCCGCGGCCCGCACCCATGGAGACGGCAATAACCAGCGCAGCAGAGTTTGCTGATGTTGGTTTTAAAGCTTCCGTGCAAAACCAATGGTTGACATCCGCTGACCCGTTCTCACCCTCCGTGTGAGTGCACGAAAGGGGGTTTGAGGGTGAAGATCGACTGGTACATGCCCAAGAAAGCGCAGTCCATGTTACTGCCTCGCCCATAGTGCGCGAGCTGCCTTGTCTGAAAACTAGTCAGCATACTCTAACGTTAATAAATTGATGTCTTCGCCAAATTTGGACAATGCTCTGAAAACACCTGGTTTTTGGTACATATGACAATACGCAGCTCACTCACCCAAGACTGCCCTATCTGATACCACTATATATAGTAAACTCAAGTTAACCACAGACTCCCATCCGTCCACAGAAGTTAACATACAGCATTTCAAGGAAGGTCAATGAATTATTGGAGGCACCCCTGCCACCCTGGTGTCGCAGATCCTATGGTGATACCACGACAGCCTTCACGAGGTTCGCTTGCTAGTTTTGAAGACAGGGGTAATTATTGAGGTACCCATTCTGCAGGCACTTTTAATTCAATCCATATGACACCAGTAAGTTCAATCAGTCAAGTCACTAGAGACTATTATTAGTGCACAGGTGACGATAGCCATAATTCAAATCAAAAGGTGAACGTGCACTAATAAAAGCTTTTAGTATTTCTGCGACACGAATAAAAATAAATACAATGTGAAATGGGAGCAAGTCAAAAAGGGAACTTATCGGATGCGAGAGTCCCTTGGTGGAAGTCCGGACGGCGGGAACGTGTTTTTCTCCGCAGTTAGACTGCTACACGTACTCCATGGTTGTCCGTGGACTTGTGGAGAGGTTGACGTCCTGCTCCCTGCGCGCGCGCGAGTCTGTGTGTGTTGACTGGGTTCGGTTTGCGTTTATGTAGGTCCCAGTGCGTGTATGTGGGCGCGTCGGCACATGATTGGGCGCTACGCTGACTAGGCGGTGCAGACAATCGATGTCCGATGAGTCAGCTTAATGCGACGTGTTTGTGCGTATGAGAAAAAGGGACAAGCCTCGCGATCCAGTGAGCGACTGTGAGTTGAACAGTCAAGTATGTGGGTGACTGGGTCGCTACACTATCTTCCTTTAAAGAACCTGGTGACCTCTCGCGTTCCTTCACAGTTTATTCCCTTTTCTGAGAGACAATTAAGGTGTACATTCGATTTGATCGTATGTATCGTCTCCAGAGGTTGTGCTGCAGGATTCCGGTCAGTGTTAGTCAAAGTGCTTGGCACGTCTTTTCAATCGGTGGTTTTACAGAGGAATTACCGAACCGCCTTTCTCACTTAGCGTTTCACTAACAGCTGTCTTCTTTGGCCAGTTGATTGAATCAGCAAAAAAGCCTTCCCATCTTCTGGGCTTTAACTGGTCATCGTACCTCTTGATTTCCTCCAGACGCTTAACCATTTGAAGGATATGTTTGCGTCGTCGCACTCGTTTCCCGATGTGGATTTTGTCGTTAATGAAGACTGGTAATCTCGACGATACAGGTATCGTTTGGTCAAATCGGGGAATTCTGGAGAATGACTCCAAACGCTACCAGCATGGTTGCTTTCACGTTTTGCCATGCTACATCCACACACTCATTGCAAGTGTTGTTTATTCATCGAAGACCGAGTGTGAACTAGCTGAGATCCATATCGCTCAGCTGCGATAGTGCTCCGAATACTACACACTGACATATTACTTGCTGATTTGCAATGGTCTGATGAAAAACGAAATGACAGGTGACATGGCATAATGGAGTGATCGGAACCAAGTTTTGTGGATCGTCAGTCTTGAACTGCGGCTCTCCACACGTGGCTAGAAACGGTTGATGGTCAACACACAGCTGAAGTCGCTCTACGTTGTGCAGTGAACATCGACTCCGAATCGACCACTTAAATTCGCCTGCGAGAATGATAATATCGGAACTTCTTGCTCCAATATTACCAGGCATTAGGAGTTGAGTTGAGTGAGAAAGTTGAGTTCCATTCGAGAGCTTTTAGAACTTGGGTCTCCTGTGCCATTTCGAAGACAATACACGTTAACTTTAAAGGGGCGTAAAACAGGAACGAGCGTTATCTGATCACCATCTTGACACAAAGCGCAAATATTGAACGCTCTTACGTTGGAAGGGACATGCCAATCTTTTATTATTTTCTCTAGTATCTATGGATGCATGATAGGATAAAGC